TTTACCTACAAAAACCATGACCGACCGATGTTTCGTATTCCCCTATTTCGCCTCGAAAACTAAGCCGAATAAATTATTTTTGGTATAAAAATTTAAAGGAAGAATAGATCTATGCTTTTTTTTCTCGTCTCGTTTTTATCTTAATTTTTTTTTAAACTTCTTTGGTAGTTAAGTCTCTTTACGGAGGTAAAAACGGCTAATTTTTTTTGGTTTTTTGGAAAGACATTTATTTTTGTAATAACTTTTTGAAAAATAAATAAATGACATGGGCATGCTTTTGATAGATCTAGATTTTTATAAACAAAAACGATAACTCTAGAGGCATTATCCCGGAAGAGAATAGGGGAATACATCTGTACGAAAAAAAATGCATCCCGTCTACGCTCTTAAATACCATTTTTGATAACTAACACGGTATGTAATTGCGTTTTTAATCTTCTAACATGTGCGTTAGTAGGAGAAGGCAAGAGCTAATGTGTTGCTAACTTTTCTTTTTGAGTCTTCTGTATCTGTACTAAAGTTAACTACAAGTATTTTAAATTTGCTTCTCTAAACTAGTAACAAGCATCGACACGGTAAGTTTCAGTTTACATTGTTTGACTAGCTTTAAAAATAATAATAATGTAATACTGATACGCTCGATATAGTTTTTATGAAGTGTGCACAACCCTACTACTGGTAGTCTGAAATGTTTATATTTTATATTTTAATTTGTAAAAATAGCAACTTGTATTAAATAGAAATGTGTAAATAGAGACTTAAAAAAAAATTAAAATTTTCTTTTTAAAAACGATTTTATTGAAGATTAAAATAATGGATATTATAATATGTGTTCATTTTGGTATTGATTTTCTTAGTGCCTTAAATTAATTTATATATTATGCCACTCCATGTTGAGTGATGATATTGCACTTGTAACCAGTAAATCAGAAAAAAAATTCTTAAAATATTTACATTCCTATCCCTATTTTGTAGATGAATTATCTGAATGCTTGTCTTATATTATTGTGACTATTTGTATTAGTATATAGTAATCTTTATTAGAAATGTAGTCTGTGATAAATAAAATTTAATTCATGATTTTCGATTGACCGAGTAGTGATAAATATCTATAAGATGTAATTTTATAAATATATAATAAAAATAATAATAAAAATAATAATAATAGGATATAATTGAGTGTGTCGCCCATCACTATCTGTTGGTAACTTATTTACGAACAGTACTAAATTTTTTACTACTTATAATGTTTTGTATGTAAGTCTATACTTCTTAAAAATTTTCATCTTAAAGTTCGATTAAGGCAGACGCCAGTAAATCAAGGAAGGTCCTTTCTAAAATGGTAAAAAGAAAATATAATACACGAAAGTATAGTAGTAAGTATATTGTGTTTTACCAAATCTGGTCATTACAATATCGTCTGGCTTGTCAAAGTTTATGTCCACAAGTTTTTTGGAATACAGGCTGGAGATAAAATTATAGGTTAAATAGTGAGTATCAGATGCCGGGAGTTATTTTCTCAAAATCCCGGCATCTGATAATGATTGAAATGAGATGTATGATTAGATGTATTGTGTAAGTAAAGTAAAGTTACAGCCTGTATACGTCCCACTGCTGGGCACAGGCCTTCCCTTATTTCTGAGAGGGTTTTAGGGCAAGGAAGTGTCCGCCGCGCGGCCCTAATGTATTGTATAAAATATTTTTTTAGGTATACCTAATTCTTTGTATCTACTTGTACCCTTTTTTATTAATTATCAATTCTTTAATATTTTTAAATCTTAAATCAGTCATATTCTTTATATAATGTAAGAACAATATGTGAGTTTTTTTAGTGGGAAGACTCAATTAATTACATTTCATAATCCTTTCGTTCAACACCTAGAAATTAAAAAAAGTCTCGTCGATTATTTAGTAAAAAGTTTATAACCATTTAGTATAGTAACACAGGTTATACAATTAGTTGCAAATTGTTAATTGGATTAGCGTTAATTTCTCGTCGACTGTAAAAGCGAGTGAATAAGACTTATTATAAGATTGGTGTAGCTCCATACAAGCGTCTAGCAACGCACGCACACAAGCGCGTTGTTTACCTACCTTCGATCAAATTGATCGAAGTTACCTACAGTAGTACAGATATAGTAAATAACGCGGTATGTAGTACTAACTCAATATTTAGTTAATTAATAGATCCGGCGTTATTTTAACCCTCTCAAAAGTGAGAGGATGTGTCTAGCTGTGGGACGTATATAGGCTTTTCATATATAGAATAAGGGTGACAAACGAGCACACAGTCCACCTGATGGTAAGTGGATGCTGTGGCCCATAGATATCTACATTTATCCTCGATTAAGAACGCAGATGCGCTGTCACCCCTGAGGACTAAGATGGAATAAGGGTCTCCGGTTCTCTACACTCACCATACGAAACACAGCAATATTAAGCTGCTATTTTACGCTGGTATTCCGTGAGAGCGTAGTCATTCCCTGGTCGAGACGGCCCATTCGTGCTACAACCGTAAGGCCTCTGCCTCGAATCTTGTGGCCAGCGGGACGGCAGCGGCGGCAGCGCGGGAGCGGCAGGAACTTATGCGTAAAATCAAATGGACCGACTCTCGAAACGACGCAGCGACTCTCGAGCGGCGCGGGGGCGGGCAACGAGCGGTGTACTCCAGTCAAGCGGTGACCGCCCGCGCGTCTGTGTTGCAGTGCTGCGTAATTAATTTTTGTGACGTTTCGAAATGTCCTCGGACGTGGAAGAGCAAATTATTTCAGCAATTTTTGAGAGAACACCGATATGGAACAGCAAAGATGTGAACCATAAAAATAGAAGAGTAATTAACCAGTTATGGGAAGAAATTAAAAACGAACTGGATACAGACTCTAAATCGCCCTTGATAGCTTCAAGAATATAGTCAAAAGTTTCTACGTTCATTCTGGTGTAGTCGTAGAATTTGTCGGGACATTCTCTCTGTTCTTCGTAATTTCGATAAAACTCGCCTTTTCTTTTCCTTGCTCTATAAGTAGTAGGGATTCACTTCTTCTTTTGCCCACAGAAAATCGAGCGTTAGAAATAAATTTGAATCAAAAAAGATGTTGTCGCCGTTGTTCAGACATTTCATTCGCAAATAAAAGCAAACATCTCGACAACACAACAATGAACACATCACTACGCCGCTATAGTGTCGCGCGATCTGCCCGCTAGTTTCGTGAACGGGTCTGCGTTGCCCGCCCCGCTCCCGCGCCGCCGTCGCCGTCGCTCCGCTGTCCGCAAGATTCGACGCAGAGGCCTAATATAGCTGCAGCGTGGCTCTACCGCGTATGAAGGCGTTATTTTGCGGAAATCCATCATATTAAATATGGTAAAATTTAAGTAGCTAAGATCCGCGTAATAGAATAAGAAATAAAAATCTGGACCAAACCAATTCTGGTCATGTAGAAATAATGGATGAGGAAGGACTGACAAAGCAAACATATGTTGCAGAAATGAATGGAGTCTGAAAGGGACGGCCTAGGCGAAAATTTGTCGACAAAATTGGCGATATATTAAAAATGGGCCAAATTAAGAGTACCCTTAACCGACGAGCATGTATGCGAAGGTATATGGATGTGTAGGAAGCGATAGAAGTATGTCAGGATCGTGCCAAATTGAAGTCTGTAGTCTCTGCCTACCCTCTGGGTGACAGGCGTGAGTGTTCATGTATATGTATGTAAAAGACGTTCGTTTGCAATTCCGTATAATAATGTTCTAGACTCACATCGAATTGTTCGCACCTTGACATTTACCAATTACCGTGTGCTTGTTTGCGTGCATTGGGAGATACTTGTACTTATAATAACTTCCGCACTCTCGTGCAATTTGTTTAAAGTTTATTGTGTTCATTTATATAGCATATGAAAAAATTTATGTGATATAATATACATTACATAAATGTATATATATATGTGATAGTGCAGGCCTAGAAATTACTATAGTGCAATAATAAAATATGTATGGTTATTGATTTGTTAATAAAATGTTTTTTTATTTTGAACTTTTGGGAAAAATGATCTATTTTTATATCAACAATACCATTTTTTTAACTTATACTACGGTAAAATTATCACAAATTAAAATCTCCCAGCTTCAGCAGGTTCCTTCTTGCTATATTTACTTATGGTCGGCTTATATCTTAGTTTGTGGGAGAGATTAGTGGAAATGTAATTTGTTCACATAGATACGGTCACCTTTGTGTCGCGCCGCCTTGGCACGTGCTGCATCTTGTCAAAGGCGCCGCCGGCTGGAGAATTTCGAATTTTTAAACGAAGCACCGTAGTGAAAAGTTCTTTACCAATTTTGGAGGGGTTATTTTTTATAAAATAAGGATGACAAACCGGCACACAGTACACATGATAGCAACAAGTGGCCTGTAAGATGAAGGCGTGTAAGGCGGCCCCTTACCTTCATCTAACAGGACCAACCTTTGCAACTTCCATCTTTTCGGAAAAACTCCCGCCGAGGTGCAGGCGTGTAAGTGTCAAGAAGCAGATTTATATGCCTTTTCATTATGACCTTATAGACCTTGACGGGGATGCCGTCAGTGCCCGGGGCCTTACCTACCTTGACAGACAAAAAAACTTCCCGCAACTCGACTGCTGAGAAAAGTGGGTACTCGTCATTGAATACCGCACTCTGGGTGCAAATACGGTCTTCGCGTTCGGGAAACATAGTTCTGACTATTTCTTCAATCCTATCAGGTTCCATGGGGACTTACTGAACTGCGGCCCAAAAATTTTTGAGTGACAATCCGGTAGCCGTTTTCCCATAGGTCGTCATGTACTTCTCTGCAGACCGAAGCATTTCTCTTTGCTGACCTTAATCGTATTAACGAGTGGCTTCTTTTCGCTTTGTACTATTCATTCTTCTGTTGCCCCGTATCTCGCTTTCGCGCTTGCCTGTCTCCGAAGACACAGACATTTAGTCCTGAGCAGCACAATCTCCGCAGTCCACCAGTAAACCGGTTTCTATGTGATCTTCCTTATTCGTCGCTCTGGGATAATCGGGGGTTTTTCCCACAGGTTATTTATGGAATACGAGATGTATGGATGGCTACTAGCCTTATAATCTTCTGAAACAGACCAGTCCGAGGTTACACGAGCTACCCGTTGAGTGGCGAACGTAAGACCTATAATAGACTCGCAAGCATCTGCCCTTCGGAAAGTAGATGTATTTCCCCAATTTACAATGACCAAGTCAAGACTTGCTATCATGTCCAGGAGCTCGTTTCCCCGCGTATCGCTATATTCCATGCCCCATTCAATGGACATTGCATTAAAGTCATCACATATCACCTATCACGATTTCTCCCTTCAGATGGCAAAAGACTCGAGATCGTCGAACCTCTTCTGGAAATTAGCTATTGGATCGTTTGGGGTGAATGCCGTCTCTCGATCCACTGTCTTTCACGGGAAAGTGATCCCGGTGTGGAGTCCAAACAGAGAGTTTGATCCGAATACTGATTGATATTGCTTTGAAATCAGAAACAAAATCTGCTCTGTGGTCGTGGTTTCCTGCACTTTGTATGCTGGACGTAGCAGGAAAGATTTTCGAAAGCCTAATAAAGAATCGACTCAGGGAAGAAGTGGCCGATGCGGGTGGATTGGCCGATAATCAACACGGTTTTCGGTCGGGTCGCAGTACAATTGGTGCCGTTTGCGAAGCGCTTTCATTTGCTAGTTATGCCTGGTCGGGTAACTGAAGGTCCCGTCCCGTGTGCAGTCTTGCAGCGCAAGTTGTTTAGTTAACACGTGTTATATTCTCGATTTTTACGTCGGTCGCCGTTTTGAATCCAGCTTACTTTTGGACTTGCGCCTAATTTTAACCTGATTTTGGGGATTTGCTGAGGGCAGATGTGATTTTAAAGATTACGGATTACTTGTACTACCTTACCGCGCACAAGTGTACCAATAATACTGGTAAAATATCTAAAATTGTATCACAGCTTGCAGAATTCGGTGTTTTAGAGATACAGAACAAGTCGAACTAAAAAAAATTTGATTGTCTGTAAAGAGTTGCTTTATGGACGATAGTTTAACGTGACAACCTCATAACAAAACATTGATGAAATGATTGCATACTTTGTGGAAGAGAGATAGATGCGGCTCAAGCCGAACGCTCAAGCCGATCGTGCCTTTCGCTCGTTCGTACCGCGCTCTCGCTCCGATCGCGCTCGGCTCGGCTGAAGCGTAACGGAACAATAAGTCTTCTCTTTTCGTGCATGCAGCCGACGTTCATCGATTTATTAGACGCTGTCACGTCAAAACCGAATTTAAACCGGAAAGTTCAAGACAAAAATTGATATAAAACTGTGTTAGCAGCTTGTACATGTTTTTAGTTCGTTGTTTCAAAGGTAAGGAACATGTAAAACAAAAAAACCGAAACTGAACCAATAAAATTCAAAACCGGTTCAAATTAAGTGGTTGTACAGCTCCATTTTATGTCCCGCTGCAAACTTTGGGTATTTTCAGACACCAAATTCCTATCTATCTATTGTATAGGATATTACCTATGTTTTTTGATATGTTAAACAATTATGGGAGAGATCATGAAGGAGCTGAGTGGGGAAGCGGCACAGGGCTCGATCTTAGCACCAGAGCTTTGGTTCATCCTTTACGATGCACTGCTACGTCTCGACTAACCGACTGAGGAACTAATGGAGGCATTCGCTGACGACGTGCCGGTGTTAATCCTTGCAAGGATCCATGGTGAAGCACAGGGATTGGCGAGACTTGTCGCAGCAAAATTCAATGCGTGGCTAAATGAACATGGTAGGAACATGGTCGTTAGCCATAGCTCAGACGGAGGTCGTAGTACTCACAGCTCGAAAGTGGTTTCCGAAGCCCTTCCATGCTCTCATCATGGATCAACACATCGAGAGTCTCTGAAACACCTCGGAGTGACGATAGACTCGGGAACGGATTATCAGTGTGGTCACAAAAGCAGCGACGACGATGGCGAGTCTTTCTTGGTTAATGCCAGATATCGGCGGACCAAGGAGCAGCAGCAGACGAGCTTTCATGAGTGTCGCAAACTCGATCATGCTCTACGGAGTAGAGTTCTGGGGGAGACGCACTTAAAATAGAAAAAAAAATTCGGAAGAAACTTGCGTCGGTACAACGTACTGACACTGAGGATAGCCTGTGCATTTGAACGGTATCGGAAACAGTAGTGTTGGTCATCTCAGGTACAATCACATTCAAAGCTTACCACGAGTGGTTAAAGGGAATATTAGTAATATTTATAGCATTGTTAATATTCTTTAAAAAAAAATCCCAATCGGCCTTTTGGGATTCGAGAGAAGGCGTATCTGGGATGCTTGGCCGGCTGGCGGGGAACTGTTGATGGACGTCAGGACTCGAGAACGCGAGGGGACTTGTGCTCTAGCAAGGGCGCTGGGAATTCGGGGTAACCGGACTTTGGACTCATAGGCTTATCGGACGAGTCCTTGACTGGGCCGTACGGGAACGTAGAGAGATAGACTGCTAACACATACAATTCCTTACTGGACACGGACAGTTCAATGCCTATTTAGATCGTGTGACAATCCGAAACGTTCCTGATTGCGTGTACTGTCTGGGCGTTGTACCACACTACCGGTATTACTACAACTTGACCGGTATCTTTTCGAAGATTTCCTGCTCTCTTAAGTTAATGCGGTCGCTCATAGACATCTACACTCAGCGTCACAAAAATCGCACCTCTCTGAGTTTGCGCGAAAAATGGCTGTAATGGCTAGAAACTAATTACATTTATATAAATATTGGTATGTTTGAAATGGGTATTTGAATAGCTTTACATAATTAATAAAAAAATCATGAAATCATTAAAACATTTATCATTATAGAGCGTCAAAAATAAACACTGTCAAATGCTCGTTAGTAAGGACGCTAGTTACACCACATAAAAAGGGTATAAAAGGGTCGATCTGGATGAAATATGGGTCAGTCGTAATTTAGACTTTACAGTGAACACACGTGAACAAGTAACCCAAGTAAGAACAAGTAAAGATGGACACCAGCTATGAAGAAGCCGCTCAAGTGATTGCCCTATTGCAGTCGGGGATGCGGCAGTGTGACGTTGCTCGACAGTGGAACCTGTCCCGTTTTTCAGTTCGACGGGTGTTCCAACGTTTTCAGCAGACTGGTGGTTATGTTACAAAACCGGGATCTGGAAGAAAACGGTGCACATCAGAAAGAGATGACCGTTTCATCGTTACGACATCTTTACGAAACCGTTTTACAAATTCTGTTGAGTTGCAACAACAGCTTCGATCAACTCGGAGAACATCTGTGAGTGTTTCTACGATAAGAAGAAGGTTACACGAAGACAACACAAGAGTTTAATAGCCCATAGACCTGCTAAAGGCCCAAAACTTACTGCACAGTATCGCAGAGATCGCCTAGAGTTTGCTCGCAATCATTACGAGTGGACTCTAGAACAGTAGCGGACTGTACTCTTCTCTGATGAGACGAGGGTCTGTCTCTTCTGCAATGACAGACGTAGAAGGGTCTACAGAAGATAGGGGGGAGAGGTTCACCCAACCCTGTTTCGAAGAATCCGTCGAATACGGGGGTGGCTCGTGTATGTTTTGGGGCGGCATTTCCGTGGACGGGAAAACGGAACTTGTGTGCGTTTCCCGGACTCGGGGTGGCCGTGGGCAAGGGTCATTAAATGCTGGTCGGTACATTACTGAAATCCTGGAGGAACATGTGGTCCCGTATGCTGGTTATGTCGGTGATGGATTCATGTTAATGCATGATAATGTTCGTTGCCACACCGCGGCTATTGTACGGGATTATTTACAGGAGGTCTGGACTTCGTGCTGGCCAATGCATAACAGGGATATCTGTTATGCATTGGCCAGCACGAAGTCCAGACCTTAACCCAATAGAATATCTCTGGGATGACCTAAAACGGCGCGTGCAAGCTCGAGATCCAGCTCCAACCACTCTTCAAGAGCTCTAAGATGCGGTACTTGAAGAGTGGGAACAAATACACCAAGAGGCTGTTGCGACCCTTGTAATCTTTCTTTCTTTTCGCTTACTTAGCATATGAAAGAGTATTCAACCAACGAGCACACAGTCAGAAATCAGGTTTTTTTAAATAGGATAAAGATGACAAACGAACACACAGTCCACCAGATGGTAAGTGGATCCTGTGGCCTATAGACATCTACATTTATCCTAAATTTTTTTATAGGATAGGATGACAAACGATCACACAGTCCACCTGATGGTAAGTGGTTGCTGTGGCCCATAGACATCTACATTTATCCTCGATTACTAATCAAAATTCAAATGCGTTGTCATACGTGAGGACTTAGATGAAATGCCTCGTTTCCAGTAAAAAAGGGTCTCCGTTTCTCTATACTCATCACACGAAACATAGCAGCATTAAGCTACTATTTGACGCTGGTATTCTGTGAGAGCAAGGTTTTTCCCCGGTCGAGCCGACCCATTCGTGCTACAACTACACTACTACTATAACTGCAGCATAAAACGTAAAAGAAAAATTATGCAAATGCGTTGTCACCCATGAGGACTAAGATGGAATGATTCGTTTCCAGTAAAAAGGGTCTCCGGTTCTCTACACTCACCATACAAAACACTGCTATATATAACGTTGTAAAATAAAATGAAGTGTTTTTACGCGGTAGAGCCACGCCGCAGCTATGTTTGCTTGTAGCACGAATGGGTCGGCTTGACAGGGGAAGGACCACGCTCTCACAGAATACCAGCATCAATTAGCAGTGATACTGCTGTATTTCGTGTGGCGTCCGGGGGCCGTTTTACTGGAAACGAATTATTCCATCTTAATCCCCAGGTGTAACAACGGATATGTATTTTGATTCTTAATCCACGTTAAAACGCATGCGATTGTCGTATAGAATCCTCTCCTCATCGCTGATTCATCTTTCGACTCAAACCTCTCATCTTTACATATGGATTCAGCAATGCGATGCAATCTTGGATGCGGGCATTTGTCAAGCTTTTTATTTTACCGATCAAATCCTAACGCCAGCTCAGCCACAGTTCGAGAGGGATCCGCGATCCACTATCGCCGTCAGTTCGTATTTATCACCATTCATTCGATGATATACATTGGTGAAGTCGAAATTTCCCAAAGGCCATTGAACTAATTACGCACAGTTCGTTCGTTAGTAGTTCTAGATCATTGAATTAAGATAAGATAAGATAAGATAGGATGCTTTATTTGTCAGAATATGGTACATTACTGTTGTTACAAAAGAATTTTGATCCTAAATATT